CGTCTGTCACCCACTAGACTGCCACCCCTGCAGAAGAGCCAGGTCTCACCAATCGTTGCACGGTGCTACAAACCCAGTTCTGCCACCAAACCGACACCCAAGAAATGTTTGGACAAAGACAGATGTAAATAGCCAGACGCATACATCTATTAAATATGGTCCATCTCACTAATAACTGAAGAAGTTAAATTAAAACAATAATTTGGGGGGCCAGCCCTATGGCCAAGTGGTTAAGTTCGCACACTCTGCTTCAGTGGCCCAGGGCTTCACCGGTTCAGATCCTGGGTGTGGACATGGCACCGCTCGTCAGGCCACGCCAAGGTGGCATCCCACATGCCACAACTAGAAGGACCCACAACTAAAATGTACAACTATGTACTGGGGGGGTTGGAGAGAAGAAGGAAAAATAAAAAATAATTTTTAAAAAAAGAATGAAAACGCTCAGCCCTGGCAAGTGTTCTGGGGACAGACACTGGCAGGAAGGCAAATTGTTACAATCTTTGTAAAGGACAATTGGTGGTGAGTGTCAGAAAGCCCTGCAAATGTTCACACTTCCTTGACCCGGCAACTGCACTGAGAGGAATCTATCCTGACGAAACAGCCAAGGACATGTGTGCAGGGCTTCCCTAAGACAGGTGACTGCTGAGTCATTACGACAGCAGCAGTGGAGAAACACCCTTAATACCCAGGAACGGGGGACTGCGGAGTCAGTTGTGGGACCTCCATAAGGTGGGATATGATTTAACCATTAAAGTGATCTGTGGAAACAAACTTGTTGACAGGGAAAGAAGTTCACACTGTATTGCCAAGTCAATAAAAGGCAGATAACACAAGAGAATGTCAAATATGCTCCATTAAAATGAATCCTCTGGGCGAGTGCGTCTGGCTGCTGTGTGTGCCTTCTCCCACTTGGCAACACATTATGGCCTTCTTTCCACGTCCACATCACGCAGACAGGTAGAAACCAAAAACCATCTCTGGGTGGTGAGATTCCTGGTGATGTTCCTACTCTTCTCTCTGACTTTGTGTCTCTGCAGTGAGCTTGTATTGTGTTAAAAGAGAGAAAGAGGAGAGGAGAGGAAAGACAAGAGGAGAGAGCAGGGTGGAGAGAGAGCTGGCCCCGGGCGGGCGGCAGGCCCTCATGAGGTAGATGATGACAGGTTCTTCAAGAAAGGAGACATTTGGAATTAGGAGATGTGAGGGAGGAGATAGAGTTGAGAACTCAGGAGCTCCAGTTTGGAGATGAGAGAAGCTTTGGAAAGTGAAGACGGTTTTTAAAAAGAAGAGTTCAGAGGGAACGGAATTGCCAAAAGGCAGTCTGAGCATCATTGAAGCTGCCTACGAACCAGCGCCTGGAGGAAAAAAACCTCACGGCAGTCAACTTCTTACAACCCCTGGGTTTCCCGTCTCTGCACAGAACGTCTCCTTTCTTCATCTAACAGAGCTGGTAATTTATCCTGCCGCTCGCACCTCTTTCGAGTAACTCCTGCTGCTTTCAATGTAGGTCAGCGAAGCAGCTTTGCAAAGAACCTGTTTTCTTGCCATAAATCTGTTTTGATGTATGATGAGCAAGGGTTAGCCTCTGTCCACTTTCCTGGGATTCTATTTTAAAACACTTTCCAGTAAATGTCACCTTAATCGAGTGCACGTGGCACCTGAGACTCACTGGAGTCACGTTATATTTAGCTCATTTTGAAATGCAAAGCCACGTGCAGCGTAGATGTTCAATAAATACACACCGTAAAGCAAGAGGGACGGCTGTGAAAGAGAGCGGCCAGTGAGAGCACAGCTGGTGGCTCGGGAAGAATCTGCTGCCGGAAGCAACGACTTGAGTGGGGGGTGTCATTCCTGGTCCCAGACCCTCCTGGCCCCCAGCCTCCAATCTGACCTGTCTCTCTATCACCTGTCAGACATTCCAGCCAGTTTTCCTCGGTCTGTTTCTATCTGTGCCACTCGTAGGCAGGGCTTGCTGGATCACGTTTTCAGCATCTGACCATGCATGCGCCTGCAGCTGCGGAAAGCAGGGCCCTCGCAGGAGCTGTGCCCTCCTCACCCCTCCTCCACCCGTGCCCCACCCAGCACACCCACAGCGCTGCCAAGCTCCTCCGCCAGGATTTCACGCCTCCTGTCCAAACAGGGATGGCGCTTTGCCCTCAACAAGGGCGCCTGCCTTTCTCTCTCAGCCTTGATGAGATTAAGGTCATGTCTGCCTTGGTTTTTGCAGATGTAGCCCCTTTTCTGAAGGTGGTGGTCTTCTAGGGGAGTATAAATAACAAGCTTTAGCAAAATAGGAAAAACATCTTTGTCTTGTTCCTTCCATCAAAGCTGCTGCTTGCAAGGTTAGGTTACCCTGCAATGGCTTTTTCTTATAGATTTTTACAGAAAAAATTAACTTGAAGGCAACATATATGCCTGACAATCTCAGTGGTTGACAGGCAGAAAGATCTTTAAAAGAATTTGTTTGTTGTTTTTTTCCAGAAGTAACTTAACAGGGCCTCTATTCATATAAAATGTTTCCCTCCTTTTATTTATGGCTGCACCGGGGCGACGAGAGTCCTGACTGGCTGGCAGTCACAGGGGGAACCAAGAAACAGAAGCACCCATTGCTAATAAGCACACTTAGCAAAGAAAGAGCTTCTCAAACCCTTACCAACAGTTCTTTCTGATCCTTTTCCCCAACACACCTTCAACCCCAGAACCAAGTTTCAAAGGGATTTTGGTAAAGGATGTATTCCCTAATCCTTTTTTTTTTTTTTTTTTAACATCCAGGCCTCAAAGACTAGTAGAGAATTAATTGATGGCTCTGCCAAGCTGGACAGATGACAATCACTGCTCATGGAGAAATCCTCTGAGGACTAACCGCTGCAGGACGCTTCCGCCCACCCTCCGAGGTGGGGAGCCCGTGGGGAAAATTAATCCTCGCCGCCTTGCCCGTTGCACTGGGGCGCTGAGTGAACAGGCCGGGGGGCCAGGCCCGGGCCACGTGGAGGGGCCCGCCAGCCACTCGCTCTTCACTCTCAGCGCTGACAAGAGGGCCATCAGAGCCCGGGGTACAGCACCCCTCGGGCTGACGCCTCTCTGATAAACGGCTTTACAGGGAGGGTTCATAAGCAGGTTAGGAAGAAACCTGGCCTTCCTCTCTGATCTGCTAGACAGATAATGGGGATTTCTAGTCATTAGAGCAATGATGCCGGATAGGAATTCCCACGTGGCCGCCCTAGGAAACCCCTCTGGAAAACTCCACTGCGGGGCTCATCACAAGCCCCCTAATCCTGGAAAATGAACTTGAGGTTTCCTGCCCGCCCCCCACCCCGTCCCCACACACGCAACATGGACTCCCTTGGCTAGAATTTCGTTTTCAGCACATTCAACAGAAATTTGGACATAAGGAAATGTTCTCAGAGCGTTAAAAAAATTTTCTTATTTAGAAAAAAAAATCTTCTAATTCCAGGTGTAACCTCTTAGGGATTAGTCAATGAGGGCAGCCTAATCTGGTTTCCCAGCCAGCGGGCTTGGGATCACAGGCTGGCAAGGTGCTTGTTTAACAGGAGCCAAAGCTACCATCCTAGGCCACTTGCTAAGTTAGGGACCACACCAGGCCTAGGACCCACCCAGGGTTCTGAGAGCCAGTCCTGAGCTCGTTCCTCACACAGTCCAGAAACCTGTGTTGAAGAAGAAATTATCCAGGGTCTCCTTCATGAGCCCCTTCCATGTGCAGGCATAATAAGATCCACAGAAAAGTGGGGGAACCCTTGGTGACTCATTTCAAAGGATGCAGGAGTGAAGCCACGTGCTGCCGGTGGGGGGAACCTCACCCATCCAGCCAGGCACACCAGGTTTCAAGGACTGACCCCACGTCTCTCACAAGGCGGGTGAGCTGGGGCAAGTTATCAGAGCTCTCTGAGCCTCAGTTTCCTTATCTGAGAAAGTAAATAATGCCTACCTCACAGAGCTGTCATGAAAACAAATTTAAAGGAGATAACATTTATGAAGCTGGTAGCCCTGGTGCCCCTCCTGCTTGCTGCCTCCTGAATCCTTTATCCCAGAACCAAGGGTGTGATTTTAGATTACACGGCATGAGCAACACGTTTGCTAAGGTGTAATCAGCGATTTAACAAACATAAATGTGCCAGAGATCCCGCTCAGGCCAATGAAAGACTGAGGGCTTCAGCCTCCCGGGAGAAGGGCACCTCTAGTCTGAACTGAGAGCTGAGGGGGGAGAGCCGGCGGAGGAGAGAGGCCAGGCGGCACAGACCAGAGATGTCCCACGGAAACAGTGTGAGCGACAGATAGAATTTAAGATGTTCCAGTAGCCACGTTCAAGAAAGTAAAAGAAAATAGGTGATGTTAATCTTCATGTTTTATTTAGTCCAGTATATCCAAAATATAATTATTTCAACTTGTACTGTTATAAAAATTATTAATGGGGTATTTTATGTCCTTTTTTCTTACAGAGTCTTTGAAATCAGTATGCGTTTACACCTACAGCACAGTTCAGTTCAGACCAGCAGCATTTCAAGGGTTCACCATATGGATCAGGCAGGTGTAGACAAATCCCCATGCACCAACCTCGGTGCTAAGTGTTGGGAGGCCGAAAGCTTTCCACTAGAGCAGGAGTCCTGCCCTCAGGGGGCTCACTGTCTAGTTTGAGATGTAGGGCAGATGGGGGAAATTTTACCAAACAATATACATTTGCCTGTAGGTTCCCAAAGTGCTTATCCTAAGGCGCTCAACCTGCAGTTCAGTCTTTTTCCTCCAAGCCTTAGACAGACCCCAATCCCAGGGACACTATCCCTTCCCATAAACAGCGGTCAGATCACACATCTGATTTGGGGTTTGGGATGCGCAGCGCCCTAGGGAGCAGTTTAAGGGAAGCGGGTGCCTGGCTTTCCAATCTCTGGAGGCCACATAGTGCCCACTTCCTACTGGCCGAGCCCAGATCCCAGACAAGTAGGAAAGAAACTGAAAGCAAACGCTTGGCCCTTCTCGGAACGCCTTACCTGTGTCCCCGGCGAGCAGCCGGCGCGGCAGCCGCCGTCCATGCAGACGAGGCCGCTCTCAGCCGCGCTGCTCGCCGCCCCACCCCGTGGTCCCTGCCCCTCCCCCAGAGCCTCTGCGTTTCCTCCGCCGCCTGACAGGAGAAGCCAGTGGCGGCGGCAGCTTGCGGAGCGCTCTTTGAGCAGTGCAGGCGTGGACCTCGGCAAAACCACAGACCCAGACTGGCTTTAGATCCCCTACCATTTTTTTTGGAAACTTTCTCCCTTTCTGCACCCCACCCCTATCCCCACCCTAAGTTCCTTCCTTAACTATTTCTGCTGCTAGACTAATTCATACTAAGGAGTTACTGACTCAGTGGGCCATCTTTCCCAGGGATTTGCATTTTTAAAGACAAAATAATAATAAAAAGAGTGGCTCAAATTTATTGAGTGCTTCCTAGGTGCCAGGCCCTGTGCCAAGAGGATAATGCCTCACTCTGGGGAATGACTGGACGATGGTGGAATTTCAAGCAAGGCAACACCAGGCGGAACAGGGGTGTTTAGAATCACACTCAGTAGACAACTCTTAGGCACCCTTTCAGAGTCGGGGAGTCAGTGGCGGGTGTAGGAGACCTGCACTATTTTTTTCCTTAACTTGTAAATTGTAGAGCTGTCTTCTTTGTTTACGGATTCCAGGGTACACAGATTCAGTTTCTTGTTTTCATTCATTCAGCAAATATTTATTGAGTGCCTACTCTGAGCAGGGCACTGGCCTCGGTGCTGGAGGTACAGCAAGGGTCCAGAGGGCCAGAGCTCTGGCAGCTCGCAACATGATGGGGAAAGACAGGCAATAAACAAGCATAAAAGAGAGTTACAGATTGTGCTCATCCCCGAAAACAAAATGGACAAGGGAGTGAGATCAAGGAAAACTGGGCGTGGGGACGAGACTCCTCAGATGGAGGCTGCTGGGGAGGCCTCCTGGGGCCGTTGTGGGGTTTTCCTGCTGCTTCTCAGCCTCCTCTGCTGGTCCCTCCTCCACCTACCTGCGGGCTCAGAGCATGGTCGTGGCCTCTCCTCTTCTCCATCCATGCCCTCTCCCAGGCAGCTCCCCACCAGGTTCCTGGCTTTCACCGCCTCCTGCATGCTGATCTCCCAAATTTGTACCTCTAGCCCCAGCAAGTCTTGTGAGAGCCCCAGACCCGCAAATTCAAGTGTCAATCTGATTTCCCCCCTGGAAAGTCTACCAGCATCTCAACATTAATATGCCTGAAGGAGTCCTGATTCTCCACCTCCCTGACCATTTCTGCTCCCCTGCTCCTGTGCTCCGTCAGTGACTCCACTCTCCAGCCAGCAGCCCAAACAAAATCTTAGTTGTTATTCTTTCTTTAAATTTTTTAACTTTTTGAACAGGTGATTGTGGGAGGCACAATAATGGCCCTGTAGATGTCCATATCTTAGTCCCTGGACTCTATCATTATGTGACTTTACATGCCTAAAGGGACTTTGCACATGGTATTAGATTAAGGATCTTGAGATCTGGAGATTATCCTGGGTTAGCTGGGTGGGTGGAGTCTAATCATAGGAGGCCTTCAAAGCAGATGGCCTTTCCGGGCTGTGGGCAGAGGGAGGTGCGACTGTGAGGAGGGCCAGAGACACGCGGCACTGCTGGCTTCGAAGACGGAAGAAGGAGCCACAAGCCAAGAATGTGGGCAAGCTCTGGAAATTAGACAAGGCACAGGAATGGACTTTCCTCTCTAGCCTCCAGAAAGGAGCACGTTCCTGCTGCACCTTGATTTTAACCCAGTGAGACCCAGGTCAAACCTCTAACCTACAGAACTATAGGATAACAAACGTACACTGTGTTAAGCCACTGTGTTTGTGGTAATTCTTTACAACAGCAACAGAAAATCACTAAGGTAACATAGTCACATGACTCAAAATTCAAAAAGTACAAAATGGTATACAATGACAAGCTTCCTTCTTGCCCTGCCCCCACCCACCTAGTTCCTCCCAAAAGTTCCCAGTGCTACCAATTGTTGGCGTATCCTCCCAGAGAGATTTTGTGTATATACAAGCGAATATAAATATTTTTCCCCTTTAATTCTATACAAATGGTAGCATACTATACATGCTGTTACACATTTTTTAACCCAACAATATATACTAGAGGTTTCTCTTTGGAGCTTTTCTTTGTTTTATTGTGGTTCCACAGCGTTCCATCCCATAGCAACACCGTCGTTGTTAGCCAGTCTCTTCCTGAGCCTGTTTCCAAGCTCTCCTAACACAGACAATGCTCGATGAATAAATAGCCTTGGACCAGCAGCATTCTGCACAGGACCAAGTGTAAAGAAGCTTGTTAGGCCTGACAGGAAGATCAGACAACTCTCTTAGTGTCCCGCAACAGACGTCGTCTTAATTGCATCTTTAGTACGTGTTTTCCTTCTGTGGGTTCCAAGGCATTTCATGGACCTGGAACAAGACAAGAGATTCTAGGAATGGAGAAAAATTCACTTTAAACAAGACCGTGAGGTTAAAATTCTGCCTTTATCTATTTAGCCCCAGCCTAAATCCTACCCTGAGAGTGCCTGAGAAGGTTCCAGAATGGGGACTGATTCAGAGACCAGCAGTCCTGGGAGAGGAAATAAAGCCCTAGAGAGAGGAGCCCGGCCCTGTCACCAGACATCAGAAAACGAAAACCCACAGAGACTGCAAAGGCAAGGCATCCGATTCATGTCGCATTTGCCCAAGCAGACTCTCCCCTCCCCTTAAGATAAAATGTTACTCAGGTGTTTGTGGAGCACGTGCTGTGGGCCACGCATTTTCACACGTGCTTTTATTTTCTTTTCCCAACAACCCCACCTTACAGAGAAGGAAACTAAGGGTCAGAGAGCTTTTCCACTTTCTGGACTTCACATGGCTGAGGCCCTGATCACACAGTAAGAACTGAGGACAGGTGGGAGCCCTGACAAATCCGAACGGTTAAGACACGCGTCAGGGTGGATGATCTTCACAGAGGAGTTCAGTCGCTTGATGTGCACAGTCACGTGGATACCAGCTACAGATGGCAGCCTGGAGCGTCGTGGGATGGCAGACTCTATGGAGGAACGTCCTGGGTTCAAACCTGGTTCCATCATTACCAGCTGTGTGACCTTGAACAAATTCCTTTACCTCTCTGGGACCGTTTCCCTCATGCGGCTGTTGAGAGAATTGTATGGGTGAGGACATGTGGAGCCCTTGGAGCAGTGTGTGGCATTAAGTGGGCACTCAGTGTCAGGTGCTCACCCTGGTCCATGTGGTTCGGCCAGGGTGCTAGTACTGAGTGCTAACGGTGTCAAGTGCTGGGCTAGGTGACACATAGAAAGCATTTATCCTGAGAACAGCCCCATGGAATCCTCACGTCCTCCTGCAAGGAAATCACTCTTCCTTTTCTACAGTGGAGGAGTCTGACAACCAGCCCGAACAACCCCAATGTCACACCTCCCATCCAAGGGCAGGGCTGGAATCTAAACCCTGCTTTGTCTGCTTTCCATCCTGTGCTCAGGAACAAGCCCAGGAGTGGTGCTGTCAGGGTGAAGTCCTGCTCCCTGGCAAGCCCGAGGCATGAACTGCTCCTCCTGCTGACAGCTACGGGGACTCGCGCACACTCATGCACACACGGTATTCAGGGGAGAAACGTCCCGGATGCCTGTGCCCTCTGCTGACTGTGCGGCAACACTTTCTGGTCTGAAAAGCACTTTTCTAGAAAAGAGTTGACAGTGTTTTTGGAAATGACTCTGAATCCTTGACATGGAGGGCAAGATTCTGCAGACCTTGGGTCCTTCTTATTTCCAGTTGCCTGGAAACAAGAGGCTTTGCTGAGCGAAGTAGATCAAGCCATGGGGGAGAGGAAGAGTTGGGGGCCCGGCGCTCTCTTTCAGCAACAAACGAACAGTTCCATCACCTTAAACTGTGAGTGTCTGGGTGGGGGATAGCTGGGGGGCTTTTTGCACCTGTCAACAATGTAATAATGATCCTTGCTGAGAGGCTCCTTGAAGGCAAAACAAAGTTTCTGCAAAAAAGGAGCCATGACAAGATTTCTCATCACACAGCTGCTCGCCACTGCACTCCACCCTGCACACACCCTTCTCTCTTTTTACAGTACAAAGGCCTCAAATTTTCCACCATGCAGGAATTATTCTCCCTCCCTCTCTCCCCCTTTCCTCCGCTCTCTCATCCTCTCTGTCTTTCTCTTCCAGGAAAAAGTCTCGAATGTCAGACCCTAGCGATCATGCAGTACAGATGATCGACTTTAAAGCTGGGCGACGCTGGGTTCGAATCCCAGCTCTGGCACCTTATTCGAGTCGCTTTAACCCTCTGTGCCTCAGTTATCTCATCTGTAAAATGGGCTTTAAAATAATACCTACCTGATAGGATTGGTGTGAGGCTTGAATGAGCTAATGCTTGTAAGGTCCTTAGCTCAGCTTGGCACATAGCCTATGCCCCTAGAATGTTCCTTGTTATTATCTACCCTCTTCGTTGTACAGGCAGGAAAACTAGATCCAGAGAAAAGAGATTTATCCAAGTTTATATGGCCCATTAGTGGCAGAGCTAAGACTAGATCCAGGCATCGCATCCCAGCCCTTTTTCTTTCTTTCCTTCTTTTTTTTTGGAGGAAGATTAGCCCTGAGCTAATATCTGCCACCAATCCTCCTCTTTTTGCTGAGGAAGATTGGCACTGAGCTAATATCTGTGCTCTTCTTCCTCTATTTTGTATGTGGGACACCTGCCGCGGCATGGCTTGATGAGCAGTGCTAAGTCCACACCTGCGATCCAAACCGGCAAACCCTGGGCAGCCAAAGCGGAACCTGTGAACTTAACTGCTGCACCACCAGGCCGGCCCCCGGCCCTGTTTCTACTGTACCACACAGAGCAGAAATTTTCCTTCATTCATCAACTTCAGGCAAAATGAGGTTGGGACATTTTCCAATTGGTCATGTCCGTGCTGGGCTGATGGTGTCGCAGAGCCAGGGCCAAGCGGGTCCTGGATCACTGGCCCCCTGCCATCAGGAGCCAGCTGAGCATGTGGGGGAAGCAGCCGTTTATGTGTGACACCAGTGCATCGTCTCTCGGGCCCTCAGGCCCTGACAAAGCTGATTCCCACAGACCACTGAGCAACCGTTCTCTTCTTAATAATTTGTCTTCTGAAAACTGAAGCTCCAGAAAGGAGAAGTTGACTAGAGAGTGTCACCACCAACAGCTTTCAAATGTTCTGGAAACAGACAAAACCTCTGATCCAGCCAGCCCCCAGTCCACATCCGCTCCTCCCTCTCCCTTTCCTTAAAGGACACACGCACGCGCGTGCACACACACACACACACTCTCCATCGTGCACGTGCCCGAGGGCTTTTGTTCCCTGGGGAAAGTGTTCAAATGACCCATAGCAATATTCGGTTCCAGCATGGAAGGAGAGGAAGGAGTCAGTAACCTGCAGACAGGGCAAGAGCAGCTCCTGGTGTTTCCAGAGAGAACAGAATCCATTAGTTCTGAAAATGTTCCATGCTTCTGACTCTAGCCTGCGTCAAACTTTCCGAAATCCTGCCAGACCCTGGAGCTCCTCACAGACAATCCACACTGTCTCTGTTCCAGTCGGTAGCCAGGTGGCCCACAGCTGCTCAGACCAACCAACTTTCTTTTCAAGTCGGAGCCAGCCGAACCCTCCACTCACAGCAAACAGAGGCAGAAGGCGTGTGGGAACCGGCCTGGAGCATGGGAGAGGAGGCAGGAGCTAAGGCAATTGACGATAATTCTGTAGCAGAAAGA